ATGTCGCTGCGCATGTCAGGACTGGGGCCTCGGGAATGATTGGTGCGACACAGGTGGATGCGATCCCACTGCCTAAAGCTGTCGCGATTCGTCCCGAATGATACTTCGAATGAAGTCTGCGAGGGCCTGTCTCTCACTGTCAGAGCCGATAGAGCATGCGGTGGCCGGGATCTGGTGTTCGTATTGTGACGACCGCTGCTGCAGAGTACGTTCCATCGTGGTTGCCTCACTGATGAACTTGGCAACTGTTGTCAGTGGATTGCGCACTAGCCCAGTGAAAAGCTGATCTTTTACTCCACGCATCAAATGCCACGCCTTTTTTTCCTCCAGCATGGCAGGGTCCGCGCACCTGAAGAGCCGAAGTATGTCCTCGACAAACATGTATACTCGTTTGTTCGGACGCTGGTTTCTGCAGGACATGGCTTTTTCAGCCCTCTCCTTCATCTCGTCGTTGCGACAGGCGTCACAAAGCTGTCGGCTTAACTCTTGCCAGGTTGCAAAGGAGCCCTCGTGGTTCTCGTACCACGTCTTTGCAGAATCTTCCAAGTAGAAGTAAACTCAGCGCAGCTTGGAAACATTGTCCCTTTCGTTGATACTGGCAACCCGATCAAAGTGTTCAAGCCAGTCATCAACATCCTCAAAGATGTCTCCATAAAACGGCTTTGGTGTCTGTGGCGCATAAAAATTATGCGTGAGAAGAGAACCATGGGCATCGCTGGTTTGGACCGCCTGGCTTGTCATCGGAGTTGCCATCTTTCTGGGTGTCCATGCCAAGGAACCAAATTCAGAGGGGTAACCGACGCAGGCGGCGGCTGCTTTTTGCTCTGGGAGATGTAGCTGTCTCCAAGATGGCCAACACAGCCGAAGTAAACGTACCCAGCACCTCCGCCAGTTATGTCAGGAGCAAAGCAAGACCTACAGCCAGGAGTTCACCTGAACCAGAGCAACGAAAGTGTTCTCTTATTCTTCTCAGCACAAAATGAGTATGAGCCACAGCGGCTCGTTCATCAATGGTGGCAATATGTTACATCATAAGAGAAGATGCAATTAAGTAGAGTTAATCTGCAGCCTAGCGAAATGAAATTCCTGTTGTATATATAGGCTTTTACGCTCATTTTGTGCCATGACAATTCGTAGAGCGTAGTTTACTTCCGACAAACTTTTTATGCCACTAAGTTTTTACAGTTCTGAGCCACTGATGGCTCATATTACTCCAAATTAACTATATGTTGCAAATAACTATCAAGAAAGTATGTATAAAACATTTTGATTCCCAAGAAAAATTGTAATATAAAATTTCTCAGAATCCTTAACCATACTAACTGCTTACTTTAGGTTTGTATCAAAATTTAAAGGAAATACTTTCCCCCTTCACATGTTAAGGAATATGTGGGCAAAATTTCATGCCAATCGGGCTATCAGGTGTACCAAAATCATGATATATCCAAACTCTAGAAGTTGTTTAAAAATAGATCTTGAAAAAAATGCATACTAGAGGTATCAGTGAAAGCTCACCTATGCGGAAAAGATATATTTTTAAAGATTATTCTTTCCGTCATAGGAGCTTGACAATCATAGTTATTTTGAGCATGCGGCTTTATTATACCCCTCATGTGCAATGCAATGGCAAGCAGCCAGGTGACTATTCTTAGAGGACTCTGACAATGAGCACTTTTTAGTTCTTTAGTTGCTACCTCGCGCTCTTTAAAAGCAATTTTACCCTCCTTCGAGTTTACTACAATCTTCGATTCTTTTTTTGTTGTTAAAGCAGAAAAACTAAACTTGTGAAAGCACATAAAAACTATAACTACGTGATTTTGAAAAAGAAAACACGTTTTTCGACTCACCTTTCAGCTTATAATCTACTAAACTCCGAGCATATAAGCCGGTTAACAAGCTTTAAATAAAAAAAAAATAATGATGAATTGATGTGAAAGCTATATATATGGCCATATAACCTTCAAGTGTTAAAAAAAGTTGCGTCACTGAAACTCAAAGCCATGACCATCGGCAGCCGAGCGCTGTGCCACGGTTGCATACTTTGGAGGCTACACAAATGCGTTTTATTGCATCTCGCAGTTTCCCCTCAGAGTGCTCTTGCTCAGCAGGGTGCAGCACAACCGTGGCCTCCACAATTAGATTCTGCAACATATTGTTGCTAGGTGCCTGTACAATTAGGCACGTTTCCCAAATGGAGAAGTGCAATTTGGCAATGCCTTAACGCACCAAAAGATGGTGCCCAAACATCAGCATCGCTCATAGGGGCGTACGGCTGGGCCAGGTGGCGCACCGGAGCGATACTAGCAGCGCTGCGCGCGGCGGAGAACCGCCCTAGTTGGCCGCAGGCATACCGAGCTGCCGTGCCGCCGCTGCTGGTTTTCAATGGCGAGTAACACGTTGGCGTTCTATTGCGGCTTTGATTTTGATTAGGAATGCGTTCGCTCGATTCCTCTTCTCATCGTGGATTCGTGATTGATTGATTGATTATGAGGTTTAACGTGCCGACGCTACACAGACGACGGGGCGCGCCGTAGTGCAGGGTTCCGGATTAATTTTGACCACCTGAGGATCTTTAACGTGTGCCGAAAGCTCAAACACACGGGCGTTGTTGCTTTTCGCCTGCGTCATGAAAGCGGCCGCCGCGGCCGGCAACCGAACCTGCTTTCTTGACATACCCTGGTTTCGTGAACTTCTCCTCCTCCTATCTCTACTGTTAAACCGAGTAAAAGCTGATTAGTTTCATGCTAGCAGCGTTGCATTCTTCGTGAAAGTAACACCGAAATTGCAATTTCTATGCATTTGCAAGAGGCTGAGAAAAAATGCAGTCTCGAAGTCTTTCTTTTTACTTTCCATACACAGCTATCTGAATGTTTCTAGAGCCGTTCGAAGTTCGAATGTAGTTCGAAGAAAAACAATTATACATGGTGAGCTACATGCCACCGGTCACATAGCCTGCGATCTGCACGTTGTAAGACAACTAACCGCGACGCAAGTCAATGTGAACTGCTGAGCGTCGACTTCCACCTCCGTCAAGAGCAGCGAGCCCTGCTCCAAGGCTTTGGATTGCGCATTCGCGTCTAGCGAGCAGTCGGCCTCCGACGCGTTCGACAGCACGTCCACGGGTGAGGATTCCTCGGGTGGATGAGGCGACGTCAAATTTCTAGCAGCTGATCGACTCCACTTTGCCCACCTGCGGTAAAAGCAGGGCGAGTATAAATCAGTGCAAAATCTGGCTGATTCTACCCTTCATTTTACCTTTCGTGTCTGTCACCGCTTACCCGCCGCTTTTTGTAAACATCCGGAAACAGAGTCGGCAGGTAGGCTGGGTTGGCCTGGTTCTCGCTCTTCGCATTGTTCACAAAGTGCCTGCTGCATATTCGTGTGTTTTTTTGCGGGAGCCACGGGGAGCCATCAGAGCTATTAGAAAGCAAGGTAATTTAGTGCAGTTCAGCTACTGAATGACAGGAGAAAGACAGAGAAACGGTCACTCACTTTTTCCGCCGCACAGCCCTAATCCAGGCTTCTCGGCGGTCTGTCTCGTACCACTTGCCGGGAAACGAATAAAACCTGACGATGGGCTCTTTTCCCTTCGTGTTTGCGACGCTGTTGTGGCACCCAACTACACAACAATATTTAGAACCCGGTCTTTTCCTCTTAGGCGCGCTAGTTTTCATCACGGCGAAGCAGCAAGCAGCGTACTCCAAGCGAATCTGCGGACGAGCGCGCCCCGTGTGCGGCAATGAATTGGAGCAAAGGCCGCCAGGGGAGGAAACGGCGCTGCACGCGCGCGGCGAAACTTGAGCCGTACGCCCCTATAGCATCCATCGACGTTGAACACAGCTCTGCGACATGCACCTGTCTTCCCTAGCTCCAACACCACATTCAGTTATGCTTGCCCCAAGAAAATTACCCCCTCACTACAGGGAGATCTGATGCGCAGTGCACCTATACAGTAAAGAAATAAAGGAGCACACTTTGGAAAATTGTATATTCCTTTACTTGTTTACATCTCGGCTGCAGCATGGCCTTCGTGCCACGGCGGTAATGTAAAAGAGTAAAGGAATATCCAATTTTCAGAAGCGTGCTCCTTTATTTTTTTACTGTATGTATATATATATTATACATACAGTAAGAAAATTGCCCCCTCACTACAGGGGAGATCCGATGCGCATTGCGTCTCCCTCTAGCCCGGCTGTGGTGTTCAACTCGTCAACATGAGGCTAAATGTCGACCTTAGCCCAAGGTCTGCATCCTATCAGTGCTGCTTTTCTGTCTGTGACACCACACTGCTTGAAAAACAACTCATGTTGAATTCCAATGGCAAGTCGGAGCAGCTGATGTACACTGTGAGCGAGCACTAGACTCTGCCGTAGAGCAACGCCTCCAAATCTGCGATTAGAACACAATCTGCACTGCCGGAGCAGGCATGGGGCGCAAGGTAGAAGCAGAAGTCTTTGAGTTGCCCAGGGTACCTTGCGTGTAGTATTCCATTCAGCTAATTCCACTTTCAAATTATTTGTACACAGTGGTCAAAGTCTGGTCCACCAGACGAAACGTTAGTGAAAATAGAAAGTGCCAAACTAACGAAAGTCTTTATTCCCCATTCCTGTCTATTATGGTCTGCATGTTCTTTTTCCCCACTATATATATATATATATATATATATATATATATATATATATATATATATATATATATATATATATATATATATATATATACGTATATATAAAGAGAGAGAACTAACAATGTGGAAGAGCAAGTCGGGCACAGCCGCTTTTGGGAAAATGAAAACTTTTCGTCTATGGTCTGGTCAAAGACCTGTTGATGTTTACAGCTCAAGAGCAAGTAAAGGAAATCAAAGGTATTGTGCCTAAGATTTTCATGTCCACAGTGAACTGCCTAAAAACTGATGCATAAATTTTGTGCTAACAAAGAATGACGACAAAGCATTGCATCTATGAAGTGTAAAGAGTTCTCTTTTGAAAAGCACAACTCACCAGCCGGACTGCCCACCAGGAAGCCCACTGTCTTGGGCTCACCATTGGGCCCCTGGCGGATGGAGAACTCATCCTTGTTGCGGTAGCCTTCGATGACCGGCTGCGAGGACAGCATGCTACGGTTACGCACTAGCAAGACATCAAGGCACACCGCACGGGCTATGGGTAACATGAACAAGGCAAAGCGGAATTCATGCTATATCAGTTAAACTATACATCAATTCCTAGAATTAGTAAAGTACATTTTGTTCAGAAACATCAAGTAAGGTACGCAAGAATTTCTAGATTCGTAGTGTAATGTATGCAACTTCAACAAGATGGCACTGTGCACATCACCACATTATCAGAGAAACTGTCACTAAGAACTCCAGAGGACTCCTGTCGCTTCAGAAAGCACTTGCTAAGGTGGCACACGACCATGCTAGGGTTGCTTAAGTAACCAGCTGTCAGTTAACAATTATGTCGTTACAGTCTAGCCACTCAACCACATCACGGTGGCAGCTACGAGATACTTGACCACGCAAGTAAAAGTTAGCAAAATACACCAGCAATACAGTGCCTAGTACACATAACTTTGCCGCGTGTGGCCTTGTCGACAGGCCCCATAGCTCGGCAGGCACCTTCACTCAACCCACTTGTGATTGAATGGCAGCCTGGTTTTTTGTAACCCGAGCTGGGAAAACAGTTTTTCTTGAGATTGCAAGAATAACTCAGGGCTAAAAAAGCAAGGCAATGAAAGGGAAATCAGCAGCCCTATTTGGAAAATAGGGGCAAGCAAAGCTTTGCTTGTGCCAGACTACTTGGCTTACCGTCTTTCTATATTTCACTGAAAATGGTGCTTGACTGCCAACCCGAAGGGCACACTATCAAACCCGAGTAGCATTTTGATGGAGGCAAAATGCTAGAGGCTTGTGTTCTCGGTTTTAGGTGCACGTAAAAAAACCCCTGGCGGTTGAAATTACAGAAGCACTTCACTATGTTGTCTCTCTTATCGGGGTTTTGGGACATAAAACCTTCACAATTATGACACTTATGAGTTTCCTTCCACTATGCCGGGCATTTGACTTTTATTCATATGCTGAGCAGTGCAATACTTCTGTTACGAGAGGCAACAACAATGGTTATGTATTCATCTCTAGGTAACAGTAAAACCGCTGAATGGACAAGTTTGTGATTTATGATTACTAGAAATACGAGTGTGTAATGTGAGGAAACCACGAATTGCCTCGTCCAATAAAAACCTTGTGTTTTTGGATGGTGGCAGATACTGCAGGCGTTAAAGGGGTAGTGCCATCAAATTTTGAGGCTAAAACAAGCCTCTTGTGGGTTTACTCTCTATGCTAGGACACTCCACACGAACGGTCGGACACCGCAAACGTTTAGAATATATTTTAATTCGCCTCCAAAGTGTACCAAAATGCTCATTCTCCCGACTTAAGCCCAATGCACGCATGTTCACAACGATCGTAGCTCTGTAAGAAGATCTGTAGTGAGTGTAGGTGTGTGCAAGTGTTCCCTCCACGGTGAACGAAAGTTCATTACAGTGCACCCCCTCGCTATTATGTCAGTGCTTGGGTCTGCCTTCACACCCCCTCCCTATTAAGTCAATGTGTGGGACTGTGTTTGCACCCCCCCCCCCCCCTTCTCGTAGGTGACTATGAAAGTGACTGCCCCTTACCCCCCTCCCATGCGCATGCCTATTGTAGTGAGGTGAGTTACCTTCCGAAACCTCCACCACGTATGTACCAAGCTTGGCAAAGTCACGACTGCTACAAGTTTGTTTTGCAGGTGCTTGTGCGGCACGTGTGTGCGAGAAAGCCAGCAAGATTATAATCACCAGGACATGCGTCACAGCCTTGTGTGGCCACGTGACCAAGCTATACTTCCACTTCACAGCCCGATTCGGCGCCCAGAAGCCTAAACCGAAAACTTTCCACATAGCAAAGGCGATATCAATTAATTTAGCGAGAATGAATGAATCTTGGTGCGTGTATCATGGTTCCTGGAGCTATAGAAAATGCTTGCAGCAAAGAATGCACATATCATAAAAATAGTGGCACCACCCCTTTAAGCAATTTCTGCAAGGCAAAGCGAGCTTTGGCAATGTGGGACAGCAATATTTTTTATCAGTTTATTGTGCTGCTTTTGTTGTGTGTGATGATAGAGCTTGTAGTATATATAGTATACAGGTTGTCCTAGATATCTCACAGCATGATTTAAAGATAGAGGAACGGCGTTACATGAACGGTGCATATTGTCCCTGTTTGCTGTAGTAGCCACTACTAACTTTTTCCTAAATGGCAATTAATTAGTCTCAATTATATTTATGACTCCTTAAGTACTTCCCTAATTATTAAGATGTCACTGAGGCAGATGTGCGCATGTTGAAACAATATCTGTCTGTGTTACTTTCAACAGCATACTAACTGTGATTCACAGCATACACAGGTGATTCAAGTGCTTTATTCTTGCGTTTAATTTTTTTTTCCCTCACTGAGGTGCTCTGATCGCTCGTTTTAATATGGCTCCTACCATTGCATTGCTTTTAAAGATTTTGAAGACTTTAAGGCGTTAATTGAAAGAAAATTAGCTGCCATTCAAAAGACGTTAGAATCGGTAAAATATGCAGTGACTGAGTGCCATCCTGCAAGTGTGAACAATCTGAAATCTGAGGTTGATTTGAGTGATTGATTTGTGGGGTTTAACGTCCCAAAATCACCATTTGATTATGAGAGACGCCGTAGTGGAAGGCTCCGGAAATTTTGACCACCTGGGGTTCTTTAACGTGCACCCAAATCTGAGTACACGCGCCTACAACATTTCCGCCTCCATCGGAAATGCAGCCGCCGCAGCCGGGAATCGAACCCGCGACCTGCGGGTCAGCAGCCGAGTACCTTAGCCACTAGACCACCGCGGCGGGGCTGAAATCTGAGGTTGATGACATAAACAAAGCCATGAATTTCATGAGCAGCAAGTTTGAAGCTGCCAAAATCGGAAAACAGTGGCCTTATATCTGACCACAAGCACCTGAAAGAAAATAATCAGACACTGCTGCAAAGGATTGGCCATCTGGAACAGCATTTCCACCTCAATAATTTGGAAACAAGAGGTGTTTCAACAACACAAGGCAAAAACTGCAGAAACATTGTTGAGCTTCTCGGTGAAAAAGTCGGTTGCCCTGTTAAACCTGAGGACATCGGCACTGTACACAGAGTACCAACACGTGGCACAATTAAGAAAAACATATTTGTGCGCTTTTGCTCGTGCAACAAGCGCACCGAGTTTCTGAAATAGGCTCCCAAGTCGTGGCCAAAAACAGACTTTCTCGGTTTTTTGGGAGCACAAGAAAAACCAATATACGTCAATGAGCCCCTGACGTCTGATAATAAGTGGCTGTTTTCTAAAGCACTTGCTCTCAAGAAACAAATAAAGTGGGCTTTTTTGTGGACTGACAATTGTGTTATTAAGGAAAGACAAGCTCTTGATAGTGTGGTGCACAGAATTGTCAGTGACGTTGATCTGCATCTGTTCAACGCATAGGCGTGAAATAATGTTCAGCTTGAAAAAAAAAAAAAGCATAATGGCTTATTTCCTTCCAAGTGACTTTTCTCATTTCTTCGCACATAACATTTCTTTGCAGAACTGGGGCTTTTATTCAATACATTTTAATTCTCGTAGTCTGCCTAAGAATCATGACAGTTTTACCGCTTTACTAGCTCCCCTTAATCATCATTTCTCGGTTATCTATTGCTTCGGAACTTGCCTGTCACGTGGTCATGGTGACTAGTATGGCTTTCCCAGTTATACAAGCGAATATTGTCACCGTACTGATGATATTCATGGCGGTTCCACTATTTTTATATCAAAGAACATTTTGTATAAAAGGCGTTATGATTTAAATTCAACTGTTGCACAATGTGAATCTTTTTGGCTGGAAATTGATCGGTTGGGTCTTTGTCAGAATCAATCAAAAACTATTTTTGCTGCTGTCTATCGATCCCCTTCCAGTGACCCCTCTGGTTTTTGTAATGCTTTTCACCACTTGCTTGATAAACTTACTGCTGAGCCCAAGAATATAATAATTATGAGTGATATGAACTTTAATTTACTAGATTCCTCTAGCCATTCTGCCCTCGAGTATACATGTTTTTATAGCTTTGGGTTTAAATCGCTAATGTCTGTACCAACACACTGTTCTGATGATGGCTTACAGTCATTAATCGATTACACCGTCACAAACATTGATGACGTCAGTCAAAGTTGTAATTGCGAGTGATATACCAATCACTTTCCTGTATTCCTATATTTTGAACAGGTAATCACTCGTAGCAGCGTAATACCTTAAAGGTATCACATTTATTCGGACAAGTACTGCATGCTCATTGCCGATGAACATTGGTCCAGTGAATATGCCGCAAATGATTCTGAAGAGGCCTTGACCAGGTTCTACAGCACTGTTTATTCAGCAGTTGAGCGTTCAACCACATTGCAATCATCTAACAGACGCTACTTTGCCCAGCGGTGCCCTTGGTTATCTGATTTACTGATACGATCTCTTCGCAAGAGAGAGAACTTATATAAAAAGATGAAACATCAGATTTTTATTTTCCACTTGAAAGCACGCTATAAAACTTACTCCAGCACATTGACTACACTGTCAAGAAAGGTGAAACAATGTTATTATAAGCGGGAGTATTGTGGAAAAAAATGACAGCTTTTAAAAGAATTTTTAAATTCTGCCCAGAGGGTGACAACGTCACCCTCACTGTGGCCAGTGACGTAGCCAACCCCTTTAATGTATACTTTTCTAATAGCCTTGCAATTGCCTTCTCTTCAGACTATGTTCCTCCATTTTCTCACAGTCCTCAGCCGATGTTTCTTTTTCCTACTTGTGCTTCTGAAACTTGCTAAATTATTTCAGGATTAAAAGCTACTGGAACTGGGTTAGACAACATCCACTCAAAACACATTCAGCTTGTAAGATCTTTTGTTGCTCCTATATTAAGCAACATTTTTTACCGCTGTTTCAAAAATGGCATTTTGCTGATAAATAAAAGTTGCGAAGGTAGTGCCAGTATTAAAAAAAAAGCGACCCCCTTA